GTATGGCTGGATGACGAGAAGAGCAAAAGGATTTATATCGACTCAAAGTCGATCTACGGACAGAATCGATTAAATACTGTTGCCACGAGGGTAGAGTCGGGATACCATACCATTACGGTTAGAACAGTTCGCGCAGGTAGTTTCCTAGTGAGTGGAGTTCTAATCGGGCCGCCAGACTTTGAAAGACGAGAAGTTTTATAAACACCTGTGGACTATGCATAAAATTGTATTTGCTTAATTCGTATACAGTCCAGTGAATACCCATTGTGCTAGATGACGTTTGTTTTTCATTACGTTTAATTAAGCATCGCGATCTGAATTAATAAGTCATACCTACGTTGATAAAAAACTACGTAGATGTAAACAAGTTTGAAGGCCGGAAATCCGAATTGTTAAATATAGCATCACATTCAACTTCTGCTTTAGCTTGTAGGGTCAGTTACTTGAATAAATTGACTCGAACTAAGCGGATAAAAGATTTCACGAAATAATTAGTTGAGCGACTATAACAGAGGACGTTGAAATTGGTAAGTTACGTTTTTATTACCTATCAATGATTAGTCTGAAATTTGATTTGTAGTTATGATATGATTGTCTCTTGACTAAACGTTTTTATCTAAGTTAATTCCAATATCTAAAGGCTTCCATTCAGAAGAATTTATGGCGACGTCATCTTTCAGAATCCATTCATCAATTCGTGGTTACATTCAATTCATACCCATGAGATATGTGTGCGAACAAAACGCATACAATTTGTGTTCGATTTATCATCTTACGGGTTTATGTCGAATTAATTTGATAATCTGCTCCCAGTTGGCTTGTTAGCTCAATTGGTAGAGTGCTGCACTAGTATCGCAGACATCAGTGGTTCGAATCCCGTACAAGCTTGAATTTGTTCAGGTCTGATTTTTACTATTGCTTTAATAGTGCTCTTTACTGCGAGGATCGTGCACAAATACGTTTCTAGAGCCGCAGTTCAGATATATGAATTTCATATATTCATTGTGTTTAATTTGAAGTTGGTGGTATCTAATGGTATTTTTTTCTCTGAAACGTCATAGCAGATTGTATTAGAAATTATGGCTTCGCAAATGAGTATTTCCACCATCAATGCGCTTGACTTCAAAGAATTTATTCGAAGGTTTGGAAATGTTGTAGAGGGCACCTCACTTTGCGCAGCAGCTTTGTTCTCCAAAAGACCGTTTGCATCATTCGACCAATTCGTCACAGTGATGTGGCAGCTTTTTGACGACCTTCCAGACCATTGCAAAGAGGGCATTCTGAGAAACCACCGTGACTTGGCCAGCCGCTGGGAAGCTTTATCAGCTGAGTCCAAAAGAGAGCAGACACAGGCTGGAATAAGTATCAAATCCCTTAGTACCAAAGAAAGTCAGGAGATGGAATATTTGAACGAGATGTATAAGAAGAAGTTTGAGTTTCCTTTCGTAATTTGCTCTCGTCTGAACAACAAGGAAGGTATCTCGAAGCAGATTCGCACGCGTTTGAACAATGATAAGGACGTAGAGCTTAAACATGGGATCGAGGAAGTGAAAAAGATAGTGCTGCTCAGAATGAAAGATTTGGTGGCATATGGAAACTCTAAACTCTGAGGGCCGGTTATTGAAACAAAGTTTAGCCGTTGTTTAATTGGACTTTACTTGGATCAGACTTATGTAGCGTTTTTACTCGTTTAATTAATGCATCAGTTTTGGGAGACAAAATTCTTTGGCACTTCTCACAATTTTAAGAGCAGTTTGGTTCGTTATGTAAACAACAGAAAAACAATAAAATGCTTTTAACAATTTTTGCCGAGAGTTCCTATAATGTATAATGAGTATTTGAATGAAGCTCACTGGGTTTTACCTGGCTACTTAGCTAAAAGATCACAAAAAAACGCCTGTGTAGATATGTTTTATCGCATGAGTCGTACGGCCCCCGCTCACGCAATCCTAGAAGGGTCCGGCAACTTGATGCAAGCGGGTCCTGATAATGAAGGCCGACCGGATACGCACCCCCACGCCTCTGTTGCATTTTCCAAAAAGATGAGGCTTGAGAAAATAAGTCGAGCACTTTCGAATTTCCTTGTTCTGACTTGTTATGAAAATAAAGGAAAAGTTTCTTTTTTTAGCTAAGACTAATTTGTTTTGTCTAGCGCACACCCGTCGTGCGTAGGTGAAATGCCCCATTTAACTTCAAGCATTGCTTGAAGCATTAAATAAAAGACTTAGTCGTGAGTTTCATGTTCTGACTCGTATAGAGGAAGGAAGGAAGGAAGGAAAAGTTTTTCATCATTGTAGTTGTCCGGAGAGCACCTTCCTTTTTAATACGATCGAGTCTTAGTAAGTTTTAAAAATGAATTCAAATTTTTTAATACTTCAACATATGATAGTGTTCAGATTATTAGAAAAAGCCTTGCCGACTGAGTTAAGTGGGGCAGAAAGGTGAAAGATACGCCTCTTTGTCATGACGCACGGATCTCACTGCGTTCGAACAAACTAATTGATTAGCTCGAGCCAAACAATATCCTGTTTGGCATTGCCATTAAGTCAATAATTGCATGACCATGCATGCTGTAGTGTGCTTCTTTTTTCTTTACATTCTTCGTAGCGGTTGAATTTTTCAAATCTGCTGGGAAACCTCCTTTAGCACAGAATGTTCGAAACAAGAAAACTGCTCTGTGGATAAAGTTTCAGAAACGCAAGAACTTCCTTGGATGTTTGGAACGCAGGAAGAACTCTTTTGCAGTTTAATTTTTACGTGCGTAAGGAAGTTCCGGCCGTAAGACCATCCTTCCGGTTGAATATTTTAAGCGAAAGACTAGAATAGAAATACTTATTTGTGATGGCTCCTTGTGATGGCACATTTAGGGTAAACGAGTAGAGGAGACTAGAGCCTCTTGGTCAGAAATTGGTATCACCATGAATCTATTCCAATCTGGCAATTTTGTTTCTTTCCAGCAAGATAGTCTGTGGTCATGGTTTGTTTGTGGGCTCACGACTATTTGCATGATTCTGACAGTTGGATTTAGCAACGCTCTAAGTGTACTACTTCCCGTTTTCATGAATTCTTTCGAGGAAAATCGCGAAAGTACAGGTCAGTATATCTAATAATTGACAGGTGTAGCAATAAGGGCTGTATATGTTGTTTTACCTAGTTTAAGCTCGAACGCGTTTGTAAGTATTGAATGAAAATAGATTTTTAGATTTAAGACAAGCAAAAATCTGGACCGGACTGTTAAAATAGTAGAAAAACGATCTCTCGAAGGAAATGCTCTCTCTAACTACATTATTTGGTCCGCTGGGTGAATATTTAACACTATTATCCGTTGGAGTGAGTTATCCGGCAAGTGAACAAGCGTAGTTTCAAGCACAATTTCCGTGTCAAGATTAGTTCACCATCAGTGCATAAGTAGATTGTTGCGAAAAAATCGAAAAGAAAAGGCAGAATATTGGGTTCTGATAAAATAAGACACTTGGCTCCTGATCATAATTATCTCTTCACTTAATTTTGTAAACAGCAGAACCTGAATTTTAATGGACAACTGTCCAGAGACATGTTTCGCTTTATATCAAAGCAATAGCGCTGTTAGACTCAGTGCGTCTCGCGCTCTAGAAGTCTCAGATGAAAATTAAAGATGGTAAATACATTTTTGTTTTTGTTTTCCAGCTTGGATAGCATCTATTATTCATGGCGTAAATTTGATTCTTGGTCCTGTAATGGGCGTCTTCCTCAACAAGTTTGGCTTTCGAGTTACAACAATGGTAGGATGCCTGTTATGTTCTGTTGGTCTCACACTGGGCTCCTCTGCTTCCACTATTCGTATGCTATACCTTGCCTTTAGTGTACCTTTTGCTGTGGGTCAGTCGCTGGTCTTCGTTTCGGAAGCGATTATTGTAAACAACTACTTTGATAAAAGAAAATCCTTTGCTCTTGGGGTGGTTGCATCAGGACAGGGATTAGGAACGATGATTCTTGGTCCTTCTCTTCAGGTGGCAGTAGATGTTTTGGAGTGGAGAAACACCTTTCGGGTGTTTGCTGGCCTTTTGGCTGTTTCATCCCTGACTGGA